ATGTTTGTACAATTACCCTTTTGCCCCTATGTCTATATTGAACACAAGGCATACACTGTGTCATCCTTGTCCAGTTCAATATTGGGCCCTTAGACATTTCTCCTGTTATGCAGGATTGGCAAATTCCATCTAGGACACTCATGTCCCTCAGCATGCTTCGTGGAGTGCCCATCAACTGTCTTTATGATCATCCAGTTACGGATAATGTTTGATCAGCAATAAAGCACCCGACTCTACATCTAAGGTCCATAGTGGTTTCAGGTCGAAGGGTGGTAATACACCATTATCACCATGAGAATAACTTATGACACTTTGCATAACATACTATGTAGTATTCTCATAGCGGGTCAATCCGGTATAAATATTACTCCTAATATTTATACATATGTCAAGACTTGATAACTCTTTATCCATGATCCATGAAATGTGATCATCAGTCTATCTTCATAATAGTCTCAATGCTTTTAATGTTATCCCACTTTGCAATAAAGCTTGACTACGGATATTTTAAGAATAATGTCTTTATGTTTAATGGGATCTCATGATTAAGTCACACTTAACATTTCATTAAACAAACTAACTATTCTAGGGACTTTATTATTCTGAAAGACAAACATAATAAAGAAATGCCTTTTATTATTAAACGAATAATCCGATACAAGTACCAAAAAGTATTGGCCTCTAGGGCTTACACCAACAACCACTCCTCCAGACGGATCCTCGATGTTCGAACTGGATCTTAAGTCATTACTCATCTGCCTTTGAGCAACGACTTGGAGGGCTCCTGTTTTGGACTGGGCCAGTACCTGCCCCATGGTCGGGCAGGCTCAACCCAACATCACATCGGGTAGGCCCAACGAGGCACAATCCTCATCCCCCTTTCAGACACGCTCCACTGTCGGACATGCTCCTCTGTCAGACAAGCCACTGTTAACACGAGTAGAGCTCGCACGTCTTCCCCACGAACTCTACGTGCCCTCCACGTGGGGACATGTCATCAGGCAACTACCCACTTCTAAAAGAACTGGTCCGCCCACCTTCCGAAGATCACGGGGTAGTTGATCCAGGGTGAAGACCACGTGCTGGTCTTCCCTACGCCATGTAAGCCCTGACAGTTACTCGTATTGAGTCTTGTAATCCAACCCAATGCAAAGTAATCGTTGGCCCTACGCTGGGGGCACATTATAAATACCCTCTTTCACTAGAGGGTCAGATATTCCATTCTCTACACGTTTTCTCTGTACTTGCTTTCTCTCTTGCTGAAACTTACTTTAGCATCGGAGTAACTTGCAGGTACACCCCCTTCTCCTCTTCAACACCAGTGAACACATGAGCTCACGATGCATGGCAGGCCGTTGATTCCTTTTTGATCAGGTAAGATCAGGAATCCTTTGAAATATCTACATTTTTTTGGTTTGAAAATGTTTGCTTGAAATGAATTTGGGGAGATGAGAAATATTTTTTAAGATTTTTGTGTTTGACAAAACTTCTAAATCCTCGTGCCTACGTACCCATAAAGTACAATGTAAGATCAAAACCTGGTAGTTCGTGGTACAAATGACACAATTGGTTTGTTATAACTGATTTTAAATGTAAAGACAACTTTTCATTTCCAAGCAAATAGTTCCACTTAAAAAGATGACTCATGTCTAAGTATGACAAAAAAGTTAAATTGAAAAATGCACAAAGCACAAAAGGTTTGAATGGTTTTTTGCATGTTTTATGTCTTTTAAAATTAGTCAAAATATGATTAACATTGATTGACATTTATTAAATAAAGAAAAGTTTGAAAATCACTTTACCAAAGTCAAGATTTATTGTGAAAGAGGTTCAAGTCTGAAAACAAGAAGGTTTTGAAAAAGGAATAAGATTTTGAAAATTGAAGAAGGGGATGAGATGAAGTGACTACTCTAAAAAGCAAAATAAGAGCTAGAGATGGAAAGATCTAACCACACAAGGAGAAAACACTTAACAAGAAGTCAACATAAGCAATCCTTTTCCTTTTAGATTTAAACCACAAGCATAATAACCAGATCAAACAAAGCTTCAGAGGAAATCTTAATTTAAGCCATAACAAAGTCAAAGTGAAGTCTTCCAAGGTTTAGAAGCCAACTAGGAGAGTCATGTATCAGATGATTTTCATAATGCCAAAGTATCAACACCTGCACACACAAAATTTCCCAACAAACAGACAAAAGCAACATAAAATGTCCAAGGTCTCAAATCTCCAAGTGCAAAGGGAAAGGGTCCTAGATCTAAGTCTGAAGTCCAAAGTCCAAGGTTCAAGCATAAGGTTATAACAGTTCGGATTTAAGGGAACCAAGTTTTTAAGTGTTTAAGTATTTATTAGTGTCTTAGGAGAGATATGGCCCAAGTGGACAAAATAATAAATAAATAAATAAATAAGAGCATAAGTATAAACAAAGGTCCAAGTGGGCAAAGAGAAAATAAGATAATAATATGATATGAAATGCTAAAATAAAAGTATAAGGGTAAATTGCAAAAAGTAAAGAGCAATAAAGATAAATAACAATTAAAGTAAAGATTAGAATCAACAATAAAAATTTAGTAAGTTACTGATTAAAAGAGAAAGATCAATTTGTCATTTTTTAGAGAATACTCAACTAGACATCCACAAGCATGGAAACATGGTCTCATACATTATCAAAGGAATGGCTCCAACTTGGATAAGATCAACAAGTATGCTACTAGCTCCTTTTAATAACAAAAGATCCAATCTATTCCACACAATACCATGGAGAATAGGAGATTGATAACTCACTTGCAAAAATAACCCAATTCCGATTTTGGGACAATTTAGCTCTATGTTAAACAATTGTAATCGAACTTATGTAGAAGTCATGGCTATCTGAGGCTGGTCAATAACAATGTTTGTGTTAATACAAGTTAGAGAAATGACATGTAGGTCATTCTCCTAAAACTTACCACACTAAAAGAAAAGGGGTAGTGGTATCATCTTGATCATAACTTCAAAGAGAAGTCTCATGATATGTGAGATTTTCATTGACCAAAAGAAAGGGAAACCAGATTAATAAATACACTCAATTTGTTGATGACCGTTACAGTGTTTTTGGAATTTACGCATGTCAGTTTGCTTGGTATTTAACACACCGCAATGCATGTGAACTTTGTTGTGTGATTAGCATGTCGCAATGCATGTTGTTGTTGGGTGCAAGACACGTCGCAATGCATGTGACATTGTTGAGTTATTTGTACCTCGCAACCTTCTAACACGACTCTGTTAAAGCCTGCGTTGAATTGACTTGTCATAACGTTCAAAATTTTAATTTTGAAAATTAATTTGCGAGGTGAATAACAACTCTCACTACTATAAAATACACATTCAATAACATAATACTACTACGGTTATGCTTCCACTGTTGTAATATCGCAAACTAGATGCGCCAGATATTTTTGTTTATTTTTTTGAAAGTTATTTAATCACGGTTGAGATAAACAATCGTGGTGATAAAGTAAGTGTTACAAGCTTCTAATCCTAGCAACTGCATTTTTCTTTTTTTCCTATTACAAAAAGCGTGTGTCACTTAAGTTCATAAGTAAGATCTAAATTTTAATTTTTTTTTTGAAATTATTTAACCACGATTTTTCTTGTTAACCGTGATTAAAAGTGATATTTTTAGTATATAAGCAAGAATCACCTTTACTCTTCTCAAAAGCAAGAAACGGCTATAATGATGATTGATTTTTTTTTCATGACGGTCACAAGTTATTCAAGAATACCATTTGAAGTAATCATTACAAGCATTGTTTCATCTCTTTTATAAATGCACACTTTCATATAATGAATTTCCACATCTTCAAACTATTCTTCTTAACTTCCTATAGTAACATGAGTTCTCCATCTGAGAAGACTAAGAGAATTATCTCAACAGAAGTCACTCTTGAGAATAATATACTCACCACAGTACAACAGCATCAGCAGTTAACTGAGGAGATCATCTCAACAGAAGTCAGTCTTAAGAATAAAACAATCACCACAGTATAACACCATTAGTATTCAACTTAGGAGGTCCAACCATCTGGGTCGACTGTTGTCAGGGATGCACTAAGGGTGAGGAAGGCCAAGAAGAAGAAGAAGATGTTGAAGAAGAAGAAGAAGATAAAGGTGCCGAGGAAGATTGATGACTCAGATGAGGGTAGTGAGGAGCGAGTCGTAGATTGAGAATATTTTTGTAGTGCTAGAGGATATTGTTCCTATCTGGAAAAATTCATGTAATAAAAAAATTATGTTTTATGTACTCTTTCTTTGTGGGCCTCTTTGTAGAACTTTTTTACTATTGTTGGCTTAATTGCAACTATGGTCCCCCTATTTTGTATTTTTTTGGGTTTTGATTTCCTCATTTTAAAAACCACGATTTTGATCCTTTTTTAAGTTTTTAGTTTAATTTTAGTCCCCTCACCAACTTTAAATTTTTTTTAATGACGTGACACTATCTAAGATGACGTGTCTAATGACAGGTCATTTTTAAAAAAATAATTTAAGATTTTTTTTATTGACTAGGATAATTAACTTATTAATATTATTTTAATTAATTAATGAATGAATAATATTTTATTATTAATTTTTATAATTAGTCAATTAATCAAAATTTTAAATGAATCTCTTAGGGCCTTTAGTTATTGGCTCATGTCTTTGGTTCATCTTTCTAATCCACAATTGAATCATTATGTTTGTTTCAGCTTTATAAACACTTTTATGTCTTATACAAAAATCAATGTGGGACTTCTAAAAGACATTTTATACTACAACATTATCTTATTCTTCTTCATTGCAGCAACTTCTATAGCTTATTCTCAAACTCGTGTTTATTGCAGTAACTTCTCCTTCTTCTCAAACTATGCTAGTTAGTGTAAACATAACACACTGTTTTTAATATTTTACAAAATAATCCAACTTGCCTAAGTAAAACTTTTATTATAAAAAGGAAAAATGACTATATGCTGAAACAATACCAAACATGGCACAAGTCAGGAACAAGCAAGTGATTTTGAAAGACTGTGTTTCTGGTTTACCTAAAGAATCAGACATGAACATAGTTGACAGTACCATTACTCTCAAGCTTCCACAAGATTCCAATGATGTTCTTCTCAAAAATCTCTCCTTGTCTTGTGATCCATACATGCAGAATCTCATGAAAATACCACAAATACCTCCCAATCCTCTTTCATATACTCCTCCATCGGTAAGTTCATATACTCCTTAAATGCAGAGAAGTGAATGATTTTAGTTGGTAATGATTTTATGCCTCAAGATAATTTTTCTACAATGATAAAATAAACATACTCTATTTTCTGAAATTTTGCAGGTAATAACAGGTTTAGGAGTATCTAAAGTTTTGGAATCTAGAGATCCAGATTATAAGAAAGATGATTTAGTCTGGGGTATGACTAAATGGGAAGAGTACAGCTTGATCCCTGCCGCTCAAATATTTTTCAAAATTGAGCACACGGATGTTACTCTTTCCTACTATACGGGAATTCTCGGTAGTGTTCAACAATTTCAGTTTATATTGATGTTATTCTATCATTGTGATGTGTCTTTTTTACATATGTTATGTTTTTGTTTTAATACAGGTATGCCAAGAATAACTGCTTATTTTGATTTCTTTAAAGTAGGAGCTCTTAAGAAAGGGGAGAAAGTTTTTGTTTCAGCTGCCTCTGGTGCTGTTAGTCAACTTGTTGGCCAATTTGCTAAATTGCATGGTTGTTATGTTGTTGGAAGTGCTGGATCTAAAAACAAGGTATTGTTGTAATTGTTTAAATTTAAGTTTTTGCAAAAAATACCCTTGAAAACATTTCTTGTGAGTTTGGACACTTTGTACTCCAAACGAAAAGCTTAGCATAAATTATAAGAGAAAACAATTATCTATATATGTTGCATCAAATGGACGCATTTGGATAGTTGCCTAAAAAGCATCCTTTCAAGTTACAGTTCATGAAAGATTTTTCTCATCATATCATAAAGGAGATTTTTGAAGTGTGAAGATTGGAAATTATGTTATAAGTAATATCATATCTTACTGTCTATTGTGGCGGATAAATTATTATAACTAACTAGCATAATTTGAGAAGAAGGAGAAGTTACTGCAATAGACATGAGTTTGAGAATAATGTTATAGTATAAAATGTCTTTTAGAAGTCCCACATTGATTTTTATATAAGAAATAAAAGTGTTTATAAAGCTGAAACAAACACAACAATTCAATTGTGAGTTAGAAAGATGGACCAAAGACATGTGTCAATACCTAAATGTATATATCACAACGGTTGATATACCTAACTGTTGTAATAGGTAGAGCTAAATTGATATTATTTACAAAAATTATTATATTTTTATTTGGATAAATAGATTGTGAGGTTCTTATCATTGGGCGACCATTATTTTTTTGCAAGTTGAAATTCACCCACCCAATAAAATTACCCAACTAAAAAAATACTACAAAGAAAAATCTATTTTTTAAGGCTAAAACAAATTGATCCATAATAATTTCTATGATCTTTATCCTGGAAGTGAAGAAGTATTTCATATGATGATCCATAATAATAGAGATGATGTCTAACCTGGAAGTGGAGAAGTATTTCATATGATGTATAATTATGTGATGCGGAAATTGAAAATCTTTCAAAACTCGGGCGACCATTATTTTTTTGCAAGTTGAAATTCACCCAATAAAATTACCCAACTAAAAAAATACTACAAAGAAAAATCTATTTTTTAAGGCTAAAACAAATTGATCCATAATAATTTCTATGATCTTTATCCTGGAAGTGAAGAAGTATTTCATATGATGATCCATAATAATAGAGATGATGTCTAACCTGGAAGTGGAGAAGTATTTCATATGATGTATAATTATGTGATGCGGAAATTGAAAATCTTTCAAAACTCAAATAATGTTGCTCTATATATAAGAAAAGCTTATTAACATCTCAAAACTCAACATATATTTTGAGCGATTTACTATCATCCACATTCATAAAAAGACGAAGTAGTTCAATTTTCTTTATAAAGATTTGGATAAGACAATCGTGGCGTGGGAATAGCAAGCAGAGGTTTCTTCTTTTTTAGAACAATACCAAATTTCTCTGAAACCTCCAATTTTTCTCCTTGTGGTATTGTCCAATCAAACAAGTGCACAAGGGTAGCCATAAAGTACAAAACAGTCCTCTCAGCCATTGCTATTCCAGCACAAATCCTTCTTCCAGAACCAAATGGAAAATAACTGAAGTCATTTCCACTGTAATCCCACTTCCCATCCAAGAACCTTGTAGGATCAAATTCTAGTGGATTTTTCCAAACAGAAGGATCTCTATGAATAGCCCAAACGTTCACAAACACACGAGATCCCTCCGGAATTGTGTAGCCACCAACTTTGGTGGTTTCACTTGGGCAGTGAGGAACCATAAGCGGAAGCACTGGGTGCAAACGAAGGGTTTCTTTCATCACTGCATGTAAGTAGGGTAACTTATGAATATGAGACTCTTCTACTGAGTTATCTTTTCCAACTACAGTTTCTAACTCCTCTTGAACCTTCCTCATCACTTCTGGCTTGTTCATCATTTCTGCTATTGCAAACTCAATTGTGTTGGAGGATGTATCTGATCCACCCACTACCATGTCCTGTTTACAATCATCCACAATATTGCTAATAAAAAAGAGAGATAAAACAAAAATAGAAACATTGATGAAAGAAACATACCATGAGAAGTGCCTTAACGTGAGTGCTTGTGAATGGAGTCTTGGAATCACCCTCATCCTTCAAGTTCAACAAAAACTGCAGAAAATCTTTACTTTCACTCTCTTTTCCTTCCTCTTCCTTCTTCACACGTTCACTAATCATCTTCTCAAATATTCTATCAAAACGAGGAACCAAAGCATTCATCTCTTTCACCACACCTTGCAAATCAAATCGGGCCAACCCGGGGAAAAAGTCCGACACATTCGGCTTCCCCAAAAGCCCCGTCATCTCCGCCACGGCCTCCCTGAATTCCACCCCTAAACTCTCCCTCTCAGCCCCTTCCACACCCGCACCCCACATCATATTCGTAATCACGTTCAACACCGTTAAAAACACTTGCTCCCCAATATTCACTGCTGAACCAACTCGATCGTGAATATACCCGACCGTCCTCCGAAACTCACCACGGCGGAGCTCATAAACAGAATCAAGAGTTGTGTTGCTAAGCATCTTCACCACGCAAATTTTCCTCAGCATCCTCCACTCTGGTCCATACGGGCTCCACACGATATCAGAGCCACCGTAAGTCGCTGCTCTACCGGCGGCAGGAACGTCACGGTTGGCAAAAACTGTGTCATGCTCTTTAAGAACCTCACGCGCTGTTGAAGGTGAAGTCACAACGATTCCAAGCTTGCTACCGAGCCAGAGCTTGAAAATTGGGCCGTGAATTTGGGCCAGCCCGGCGAAGTAAGTGTGAAGTTCTGGTTCTAGAGATAGAAGGTTTCCAAAGAAAGGAAAACCCAACGGGCCTGGCGGTAGATTTTGGGATTTGGATTTGAAGAAGAAGATGTAAATATACCAAGTTAGGGCAGTTATTATTAAGAGTGCTACGATGAGTGTTGTGCTGTCACCACCGTAGGGAATCATGATGTTATTATCTGTGTATTGCTATTGCTGTTGTGTTTGAGTTTATAGAGGAAAAAGTAGAAGATATTTCCGTAGGTAGAAGATATTTCCGTAGGTAAAGATAATGAAGATAAAATAACGGGAGAGCCAGGACCGCAAAGGACAGGCAAAAACGACAATAAAATTTTTGCAAGAACGGTGGATGGATATTATGAAAACGATAATAGGACGACAATAGGATTTTGCTAGAACGGTGGATGGACAATTTAAACGGAATCTCCAAGAAACAGTATACAGTGCAATTAAAGTGCGAGTGCGGTAGGACAATTGTGTTCACAAATAAACACAGAGAAAGGGATGACGATAGTTACAACTAACAAGTGCCCTAAACCACAAGTTAAAGAAGAAAAGGTACAAGTTTTATATAAAAAACTAAAATTTTAAAATTTGCAAAAAGTTACGTTTAGCGTTTTCTGCCCTAACAATATAATACTGCTTACATTTGTCTTATTGCTAAGAAGAACATACTCCCTTTTTTATGCTGATTACAAATCTCTAGTTTCTTTGTAATGTCACTATTAAAATAATCACAAAAACTTTAGCTAATAGAATAAAAATAATCCTCCCCAAATAACAAGTGAAAATCAAAGTGTCTAGGTTCATAATAGTCTTTTTAATGACAATACAAATATAGTCTTTGAAATTTTCCATTATCTAAATAAAACCAGCTCTAGGAAAAAGGGTAAGTTGGTATTTAGATATGCATGACTTATGATATTTTCTTTTTAAAAAATTTTATTGTACTCTATACATTACTGAATGGTTTTTCACATGTCTCCTAGTTTCAAATACATCATATATGTCATTTTGAGATACGTCCCATAGATTTGGATTAGTTTATTTCGGAGATATATTTTCGAAACAGTTTTAAAAAAAACATTTTAATTGTTCAATTTAGTGGATAGTCCGAAGATATATCTCCGAAACAGTTTTAGAAAAACATTTTAATTGTTCAATTCAGTGAATATTTCGGAGATACATCTCCGAAATTGTGGGCGGCAATTTAAATTTTTCTGTCACCTTTGTATGTCAGGTATTTCTAGATATGCATCTCCGGATATATTTGATATAGCTTCCAGTTGCATGATCAGTCCCCCATTGTTACCATACTTCATTCTCAACATAAACCCCCACTCTAAAAACCCTTCATTCTCAATCCATTTTTTCATTCCAAATCTCCACCCTTTTGGTTCAACATATCATAGGGAGCAAAATAAGATAGAATTTCATGTAAAGATTGTTCTTTCTCCTCTACTTTTCTCACAGTAATCATGAATTTTTCAGAAAAAATTTACGATGTGTCCGGAGATATATCTCTAAAACGTGTATGAATTTGTCCAGAGATACATTTCCAGAATGTGTTTGTGTTCACTTTCTAACCCTTCTGCAGCAGTTGATTAGTTAATGTTTTGTAAATATTTTAATTGTTTCCAATAGATATGGTGCACCCCGACGTTTTCTCAAAACAAGTAATTTCTCTGAACGATGTTTCTCCGACTGTTCAAGGGGTTATTATGAAGGCGGTAGATGTTGGCAACGACTTTAATAAAGAGTTTGAAAATCGTGACAAAATGCTTGAATGAATTTGTATAAAGGCATTTATACTTGATTTGTTATGGTTATCGGAAGGTTTGATAATGCCTTGGATAGAAGATGTGTTTTTGTGACAATGTTATGCAAAAGAAGTGGGAGATATCAAATTCCTTTTCGAAATCTTAAAAGAGACGACACGGGTAGTAGAAAATGTGAGTGGTCATTTAAGGTTCGTGGTTACATGTTGGAAAACAAAAATTGAAGATTTAATGTAATATATGGTTTGCATAACCATGATTTGTGTTTAAAGTTAGTCGGTCATCCTAGTGTATGTCGCTCAAGTCGAAAAAGAAGGAATGTATTACATGACCTTGAATCTTGTTTAACCGAAAAATATACTTGCAACATTGAAACGGGAGCGACCCGATAATATATATAATATCAAGCAAGTGTATAACATTATGTACCTCACTAACAAGGAGATTAAAGGGGATAGAACTGAGATGCAACAACTCTTGAAACTGTTGGATGATAACATTTACGCGTCCTGGTACAGAACATGCGATGATGGAGTT